CAGGCCACATCACCCTGCGAATGTCCTGTTGGTCAAACCAATCATCAACTGCTCAGGGCCTGTGACAAGGAGCATTGTCATCCTGGTGAACAAATGGATAATTCCTGTCACCAAACATGTAAGTACTAGATGGTAGCAAACCTGACTCCAAAACATCGATATATTTCTAGTGATTCATGTTTCCATCAACCACTATCAATTCGCCCACGCCATGGATGGTGATGCAGCCCGACACCATGATGAATATGCTGCTCCGGGTTCGAAAATTCAGTGCATATGGTTCAAATGCTTTACCAGCAGTTCGCCAGCATCATACCCGTCTGTCATCAGAGGTCAGACCAAAGCGACACTCATCAGAAAAAAATATATAGGACCAATTGTCATGGACTGTCCAGTTCCAGATCCTGTTGACCCTAGTTCACTCTACGTTGCCTGTTTTGTAACAATATAAGAGGTTTCAGTCTTGCTACCTTGCTGTACACTCTCTGAGCATGTAACCGACGCCTAGCAATTTTCACAGACACATTCTTACGTGTGAAATTGTTCCACTGTGTTGTCAACTGACAAGCAGTGTCGAACTTTGACAACTTGGACATCAAAATCAGTCGTCGCGGTCTTCACGGCCAGTAGTTTTTTCTTGGACGACCCATCAGAGGCAATTTGTCTCTTGATCCAGTGTTGCTATACCGAGACCAGACCCTCTGACTGAACAATACAATTGTTTCGATATTCTGACATTGCTTATATTCCGCCTCTTCAGGTTAATAACTTGACACCTATGACAGTTAGATAATTGCCTGTATCTTGTCATATTGGAGGAAGACAGGAATAACATTCGCTGTACATGTACAAGACCAACAATACAATTCCATGGTATAGCGGTTTTATACTCATTAGTCACTTCATAAGTAGACCAGGCATTATAACTACCCAAGATCTGCCTACTTTTATTACTCTGATTTAGGGGGTGACACTTCTTTTGTCCAGTGTGTGTATGTCTTCAACAACAAAATTGTATGTTCTCAATGGGGCAAGTCGAAATTTCTTTACAAAATGAACGACATTTTATCAAAATCAAATGGACAAGGTACTATGTTTTTTCAACGAAAAATCACAGACAATTGTGAATTTTACACATACTGTATGCTTTAATTCATATTTTTTTTAATTGTAATTTCTCATTGAGTGGTACAACAAAACTAAGAGTGCTTTACAGTTTTATTCTTTATAATAAAGACACAAATCCTACATGGAAATATATTTTTGAACTGAACTTTGGAAATTTTCTATCCCTTATATCTCCAAAACTGGCAGAGATACGCCCATAGTTACTATTGAACTTGTATAGGAGGTCATATTCTGGCAATCTAACTGAGACCTTGAAGTTGACCTTTGACCTACTTTTCACCATGATCTGAACTTCTCAATTCTTCAACGAATGCTATGATTTGTCAAGGGTAGAGTTACATGTACACACTATCCATAGAACCTTCTTAATTGTCGGAGTAAAACGAACATTTTATTATTACAGGTATTTAAAGCAATAATAACTCTTCCTTTGAGATTCAAAATTCCGCAAGAAATACTTTGTAAACAACGTATGGAAATATATTCTATTGCATTTTACCACTAAAACGGTCGTTATTGTAGTAAAACTAAAACCTGTGCTTGTCAATAGGGCTTTCGATGCCTTTATTCCCGGTCGTTAAGGCATCCGTTGCCAATGACGTTTGGGTGTCACGCGGATTCTCGCGTTCATTCGATACCAAAATAACTTGCGACTTCTGGCAACAGGTGGTGAAGAATGGTGTTTGATCCATGTAGGCCACCTCCAATTTATAGATTTTTTACAAGCGTTTGGCTACCATTTGCGCTTAGACTGTCGAATTTGGTCAACTTTTGTGTTAAAACCTACATGAGTAAATATTTTAGAAATTTTATAATAATTGTATTTAATGGCAATAAAATTTATTTTAAAAAAATCACGCATTGTATTATTTTGTATTATTAGTAGTATTATTTTCACCCTTCTTCAAAATACATAAATGAATAAAATTAAAAGGAATGATAAAAATCTTTTACTTAATTTTTTATCTATTTTTTATTTTTATTTATTTATTATTTCATTTTATTTATTTATTTATTATTATTTTATTTTATTTTATTTTATTTTATTTATAATTTTTTTTGCAACGACAAGAGAAATGCAGGAAGAGGTTAAGGTATGAGTGAATGACGATGTTTTGTTCTGAGGTTCTTTTCATTTCCAAAATAAATAAATTAATAAATATTAACTAATTAAATAAAATAATAAACAAATAAAAAATAAATAAAAATAGATAAAAAATTAAAAATATTTTATTAAATAAATTGATGTTATCACAATATTTCCATTCAATTTCATTTTGATTAATTTGGAATTTCAGATTGTTAATTTTATTGTTAATTCAATTTTATTTTAATTTGGAATTTCATTGTTATATCGTCTGTTTTAAAGACTTTTTGTCCATCTTAATAAAATTTGCAGACCCTTGCCCTGCCTCATGAAAGTGCCTACAATTCTTAATTATAATTCCTCCTCAGTGATGTCAGACCAATTCAGAATATTGAACAGATCCAGATCTAAAGATTTTAAATTGTAAAATGTTTGATTTTGTTTAGGGAGGATATAAGGCTTTTAAAAAAACTCAAACTTCGTAGTTATCCTTAACCTTTGTTTTTCTTTTTTTTTTTCAGGGACTTAGTACGATGAATAGGAACCATGTTCATTTTGCACCAGATGAACCTGGAGGCTCAGGGGTCATTAGTGGCAAGTTGCTATTTGTAATTCACTTGTACAAGTTTGATAGTTTGCAAATCATTTATCCATTTCATTGCTGATACTGGGCACCTAGAATTTTTTCATTACAAGTGTTATGTGTTTCCCTTTACAATGAAAACCTTAGAAAATACATTGAAGCCCATGTTAACAATATGTCACGTCAGTTCAGATTAAATACAGTTTTGCTAGCCATTTTAAACTTTTGAACATTAATGATCTCCAAACTCATTGGAGGTAAAAAAATATAGTAATACGTAGGTGTTCTGCACCAAATTTGGCCATGGAAACTAAGTTTGTATCAATTTTTCCCAAGAAAGGAATGTATTTTTTCCACCTGAACACTATATAATTCATTTTTCTTTTGGGAAGTTACTAGTAACCATCAGTTAACATCTGGAAACAGTAAAGGTCTGCTGATAGAAGAGATTATTTTCCAATAATTTCCGAAATTCTGTGTTAAAGTCACAGACATTGCCGAAATTCTTTTGGCAGAAGTTTATTTTACATTCTTAATCTCTGTCATAAACTTTTCGTTTCATTAGGTATGCGAAAAAGTTGTCAAGTCCTCATCTACATGAATTTACAAAAGGCATTAGAAGGTAAGTTAGCCTCATTCATTTCTTCATCATAATGATTGATAAAAAGCTGATAAAGTGATAAGTTTAATCATAACTTATGTTTATATTTGTCACACATGTACATAAATATCATAACCATATGTTGTATTATAAATGTACTCATATTTTAATTAAGAACTTAAAAATAATTTTTGTGAGATATTTTCATACCACCAACCTCTTGCCTGTTTAGTGTACCCTGAGCTTCAGATCAGAAGTGTGCCATTTATCTTCAAATTGTTTTTTTTTCAAATGGAGAAGCTGTCGCAGACTAGATCCGAGACTAAAGGCAGTAATTCATTGTCAACAGGCCAAAAAGCAGGTCTGCTACTGTAGTGAAAATTTGTTTAATTTTCAGATGGTCTGCAGTTCTTTTTATCAGACAATAATGTTATCTTTAGCCCTGGCAACTGTGATGGAATTATCTCACCAAAATATTTCTCCAAAGTTATGGACCGGGAGACTGGTACGTGCTTAACTTTATTTGGAACAAAATTTATTATATAATAGAACATTCTTGCAAAGATAAATTTCTTTTTCTTTTAACATTGATGTTCATTTGCCCTATAAAGTACACATACTAGTAAGTCTATGTAGGTGAATGTCAGGACATTGTAAGTTTTTTCTTTCTTAAATTATTTTTCAGGGCAGTCACTAGATTTGCATACTAACTGTTGACAAATGAAATTGTGGAAGACCGTTGACCAGTTTGTCAGCTGATTTGTTTACTGCTTTAGGGGTTTTGAACAGAACTGTGATACAACCAATGCAAAGGCAAAAGGCCTGTTGGAATGACAATTTATTTGTAGTTTTTTCTTCTTTAGAAACTTTTTGTCATAAAATTAACATCAGAACTGACTTTAAATAAGGCCAGTGATGATGCCATTAATAATGTTAATGGGTTTCCAAAAGGTTCTGTGCTAATATAGGATTACTGATATGCATTCATTGGTACCAATGATAGAAGAAACCTGCTTGAAGTGTTTCTTTTAAGTTTTCTTGTATTAAAATCCAAGAGCCCCCAGTGAAGAGTATGAACATGTATTTTAAGCATCCTCTTATTGCATAACATGTGAAAGTAAACTTAATATGTTTTGTTAATCTGTTGATTACAACTGTACGTGCCTCTGTGTGATTATTGATATGCATTTATTATAAAGTCATCTTTTAGTGGAGGAAGACCGACTTTCGTGATAAGCTTACGTGTTACAAATTCATCTATATTATCTTGTATTCATATACTATTCTTCTTATGCATTAATACGAGCCAGAGGTGGATTAAAACTGATTTCAACATGCTTGCTAGTAAGGAGTGCAGTGGTCAGAGTACCGGTAGATCCTCGCTATTTTGATTTTGGGGCTATTGATACATGTATGTACACGATATATCTGGATTCTGAATCATAATTATTTGATTTGTATTTAATAATGGTTTTGTTATTTGTTTTCCAGTCTCTTGTAGACTTTTCTTTTATTTCTATAGATTATTGAAATTTAGGTGGGTAAGGGAAGTTATACCTCACTTTGGATGAGATGTGTCAAAATAAAAAATAAACTCCGTATTTGTATGCTACCGCAGGGGAATAAGAAATTTTTATCAGTGTTACCTGTTACATGACTTGAGAAAAAAGAGGAAAATTAAATTTTCTAGGACCTTTCACCACCTAAACAGAAAACAATACACTTAGGAAGACAAATTGCATTCCTTCTCTTTTCAGTTTCAATTTCGTTACTTAAAAACAATTAAAAAAAAAACAGTATACATGTATTTCAGAGGAAATGTGTTAAGATAACTGTAATGAATTGTCTCATAAAGTAAACCTTCCGTCTTGATAATTGAAATCCACATATATATTCGCAGAAACCTCCAACAATACCGGATATACATATCATTGGACAAGAACCGGCGTTAAGGAAGGTCCGGTTTCAGTTAAATCATCGTCTTGCAAATGACATAGTGGAACTCGTCACAAGGTGCCGCTTCTGGTTCCAGCGTGTTCTCCCGGAGCTTCACGCAACGCTGGTTTGGGGCGTTCTTGCCCAGGTTAGCGGCATCTTCGGTCATCAGCTGACCGCTGTCCGCCCAGGTAAACTTGTCGACTGTTCCCAGATCGTTGCCACTTGTCCACCAACCTGAATGCGATAGTAATATGAAAAAAATATATTTTGTAACGTTATGATAAATTTATACATGTATATACCATGGCATATCCTGTAAAGTTATATACCAAGCTGATAAACTCATTTAGATCCAGTTGAGATGATATAATATATTTTATTCTTTTACTGTTTTATAATCTTCAGGAACTAAATATGAAAACCCTTCGAACATTTAAACGTTGTGTAAGTGCCGCGCTTGCTACGCGAAAAGTATGTTCTTAAAAGGTTGATATCATAATTATTATCATGATAATGCGGAAAGTCAACAGCCTGTGGTATTGAGCAGGACGCCAACTTTGAGAAAAAACTAATAAACAAGCAAAATATGTAGAATAGAGATTGGGAAAATTCTAAGATCTTATTTGGATAGTAAGATGATATTGATGTCCTTTTCAATTATAGGCATTTCATTGTTCCTCATCTTTTCTTTTTTAATTTTCTTATTTTTTATTTTTATTTTATTCCAAATAGGTTGCATTCTGTTTCTTACTCTTATCATCTCCGATTTGTGACCGGATGAATTCTCGTTCCTCGGGAGACGTGACGGATACCGAACGTGCTTCGAAGTGTCCTGCACAGAACAAGTCAGCTTCCGCCCAAGTCATCTTGTGGAATTCAGAACCGAATCGATAGCAAGCGCCAAGTGTTTCGTTCATCGTGAAACAGTTAGGACATCTGTTTTCTGGAGATATCAAAAGTCAAAAGTTGATTAAGGAAAAAAATAGAATGGAATGGGGCTTGTCTGTAGGCATCAAACTCGTACAAAATGCACTTATATATATATATATATATATATATATATATATATATATATATATATATATATATATATATATAATGGTATTTATTATTGACAGAAGACATCAGCTCAAATTGAATTCCATCACGAGTGAGTTCAGTGTTTTAAGCCTACATATTGTTTTGCTTTTGGAGAAAGTCATACAGGTTACGAACTATTTATACAGTTATAACGACGAACTGTTTCCTACTTACCGATGCAGCTGTCCCGTAGATCGCTAAGAAGTGTTCTGATCGCATCAAGGCTGGCGTCGGCCTCGTCCATTCTCTGATGCTGCGCTACTGCCAGCGGGTCTGGCTCACACTCGACTTCAACTGATATGTAAACAAACAAAAATAAATAAATTTCTATACGCACGGATTTCAACGAATTACGCCACCTTTTTTTCATCTTTTCGAATCTGTTACACTACTAAATCTGTACATCAAATTAAATCAATTAAAAATATTAATCTATCGATGAATGTAATAAAATGATTATGACAATGCAGAGAGGTTGTAAGAATTAATGTTGCTTAATTGGTTTAGATACATGTACACATACCTTCTCTGCATATTTTCCTGGCAATGGCAGTTTTTAAGTTCATCAAGTGGCCTGCATTTTTCACCATGATGACGTGGTCTTCTACAGGCTCAGACGCTATTTGATTCAAGAAGTCCCTGGAACGCGTGGAAAATGTTGAAGAAAAAAGTAAGTTTATGTGTATAATACTCACTCTTAACATTTGTGAAACGCACACACAAACACACACACAAACAGAGAGAGAGAGAGAGGCGTAAAATCTTTTTTCTTTTTTTTTCAGTGCGCAAGAGGATAAAACCTGCACTTCATTTTGGAAATGTAAATCATAAACGAAATAACCAGCTCCCTCATTAAAATTTATCAAAATATGACAAAATAACCTACGGTTTCAGTCTTTTTCCAACCCCAATGGCGAAAATAATGGTACCATCGTTTTTAATGTTGTTGGCATACGGTACTGTTAACTCTTTGTCTTCGTTTGGCCGTCCGTCGGTAACAACGATTGCTATCTTCTCCACACCAGCGCGCATTCCGTTCTGTTCCGTTAATACCTCGTCTTTCAACTTGTACAAACAGCCAGATGTGTTAGTTCTACCTCCTTGAACTTCCTTTGCCTTTTTTGAGGCCAACTCGTCGATATCACCAATAATACCATCCAAGTCTACGGAAGAATGGCAATTAATAAAACATTTAATTTTCGGTAATTACATTGACGAATGAATTCCTATATAAGAGGTCATTTTCAGGATCCTTTTAATAATCCATGACGCTCCCCCGTTAAATTAGTAGAATGATGTTTTCAATACATTTCATGTAGTATAATATTTTCTTTTAAACATTTTGAAATCATTATGATTATTTAAACCCTTTTCGTGCTGGTGCTTAAATTTCCCAAGAAATCAAAGAACATCTATAATTGATAAATATTTGGTATAAACTCGTACGCATGATGTAATATGTCTTAAATATAAAAATCCGAGCTTTTATCTACAGGCCCCTGTGTAATTAATGCATGCATGTATGACATGCAGTATTTTTCCACAGAAGGAAATCTACCTAATAATGTCCTAATAAATAGCAGAATCGATTGTGTGTTTGTGTTAGTTTGTGTGTGTGTGTGTGTGAATGTTACATATCCACTGTATGAAGTATACTAAAGATGTGTCTAGTTCTTACTAATAGCTTATTCCTAGCAAAAACAGAGCGTTATTATAACGTTAACATAACGTTTTTTTTTTTGGTAACGCTAACGTTATGCTAACGTTATACTAACTTAATGTGTTTGCTGGGTTACCTTTCAATATCAGAAGCTTTGTGATATATGCCATCAAAGTTATGTTAATATTCTCACATTTTAAATAAAGGTGTGCTCTTTTAAATCCACAATTTAAATTGTGGTCAAGCTTTTTTATGTCATTTCTACCGCAACAGCATTATCAAAATACTCACCTGAGTTATCATTTAGATCAAAAATGATTCTTGTTTCGTAGCTAAACGTTGCCAAGGCAACCTGTGTCGCGTCTGGTCCTATCTTATACGCTGTGATGAATTCCTTGAGAAAACCAAGTATGGCCTTGAATTCATCAAAATCGATGCTCTTGGAGGCGTCTAAACAGAAAGCGATTTCTACCCGCGGGGGTGGTATGCATTCTGAAATAAGAAAGTTAAATGCGTTGGGATGCTGCATGGTTCCGTATGAATAATTCGCAGTGCGACTTTGATTAAAAATGTGGCAAAAATACATAGATTAGATAAACAACAAAACAGTTATACACTCGACCAAAAAAGTTTGGAAGCATCGTTATTTTGAATAAGGCCACTCTTTTTTATTTTTATGGATGACATCCTGCGCGCGCACCGATTTTCTTCCGTTCTCAAAAAAAAAAAAAAAAAAAAAAAAAAAAAAAAAAAAAAAAAAA